GGGGGGAGTGTGTAAAGACGGCATGTGGCTGGACCGGTGGTGGGGAGTTACGTACCACAAGGATCTTTTTTTTTTTTTTTTTTTCATCTTTTTTTTTCTGTTTAAACCACTGTGTGCTTCTCCGGGAGGTGGGTTTGGTTTGGGGGCTGTATTTGGGAGGGGTGCTTGCAATGTGCAGCCACCTGAGATGCAGCCTCCTGGCCAAGAGCTGCCTTGGCCGGGGATTTGCAGGCGGGGAGCTGGGACAGCAGGTGAGCACCGTGGGCAGCCACTGCGGCTGCTGAGTATCACATACCCCTGTTTAAACCACTGTGTGCTTCTCCGGGAGGTGGGTTTGGTTTGGGGGCTGTATTTGGGAGGGGTGCTTGCAATGTGCAGCCACCTGAGATGCAGCCTCCTGGCCAAGAGCTGCCTTGGCCGGGGATTTGCAGGCGGGGAGCTGGGACAGCAGGTGAGCACCGTGGGCAGCCACTGCGGCTGCTGAGTATCACATACCCCTTGGCCCTGCCAGAGCCCCACCGGCTGCTGGCCCCTTGGTGCGGCCAGGGTGGCCTCATGGGATCCGAGCTGGCTTTTTCCCAGCGGCACCATTTAAACGTGAGTTGCCCAAGCTCTCTGGAGCCTTCTCGCTGCCCATCCTTGAGCCAAAATGAGCCAGCATGTTGTTACGGCAGCTGCCCAAACCAGCCATCTTCCCCCGAGGCTGGGGCGGACCCGAGGGACGTGGCTCTCTGGGGGCCAGCGGGTCTTTCCCTCTTGGTGGGATGCGTGATGCCGGAGAGACCGCGTGGCTTCACGCCAAATATACTTGAAAGCAGAGTTGGAGTTTCTCATGCATGAGGCTCCGACTCGATGCACAGAAATCCCGAGCAGGTAGCTGGCCTGTTTGCTCCTGCCAAGCTCGGGGCCGGGAGGTGGCTCTCCATCGCCCGACGGATCGGCCCTTTCAACGATCAAGCCCTTCTGTGGCCAGCTAAGATGCACAGAGGTTTTATTTTTTAAATGCACATCTGTAAAACTGAGGCCAATGAGGAGCACTGCAATGAACACTGGGTTTTATTGGCATCCAGCTTCCTAGAAATGGAGTTTGTGTTTTGCAGTTTCTCACCTGTGGCTCTGCCCTCTGCGTGGGGGCTGGGGGGGAGAGGGGGGGGTTCGCCTGTGGGCTTGGGCAAGTCCCCATGTCCAAAAAGCCTGAAACCAGCCCCCAGCAGTGCCATTACCCCATTAGAGCCCCTGTGGGCAGAAATAGGGGTGGGTTTAGGCAGTGATCAGCTTCCTAAAGATCTTTTATAATAAATAAAGCCATAAAGTGTGTCTCCCGTTGGGCTGCAGAGCAGAAGCCGTAAAAGGGGCTGGAGCTGTCATGGGATGGCTCTCCCTGGGATTTTGTACCTTGTCCGTCGCTGTGGGCTGCTCCACACCCAGCCACAGGCTTCCCCTGCCTGCCGTGGGGCCGTGCCACGGGTGAGCCCTGCGCTTGACGGGCTCTTGCATGCTGTAAGCAATGCCATAGCCCTGCCAGACACGCAGGATCAAAGGTGGGGAGGGAGGACTGCAGGACCATCCTGACAGGGCTGGGAAAATCCCCATTTCTGGATCGGGCTCCGGGGAGGGATGCTCCAGCCAGGCAGTGGCCCATCCCAGGCTCTCCTTGCCCTGAGCACAGTAGCCAGGATCAGCACAGCACGGGGGAAACGAGCACTGGTGCTGGGGCAGAGCATGGGACTTGGTTTTTTTTCCTTGTAATTCAGTGCAGCACTAACTCACTACCGCGTGCAGCTCAAAAGACAGCTTGATTTTTCTCTTCCAGCTCAGAGTGCTGCATTAGATGGTTGCAAGCACTTGGAGGTTCAATTAGCCTGTTCACTGACGAGTCCAATCCTGCCACAGCTCAGGCCCTGCCTAGATGCTACAGCAAGGAAAAAACCTGGTCTGTGCCATAGTTTGTGCCCGAGATGTGCGTTTCTGGGCCTGAGCTGGGGTCAGGAGTGTCCCACAGGAGGCAGTGACCTGCCCCAGCGCACCGGGGAGGACGGGGCATTTGCACCGGGGCTGGGATGCGTGGTCCTTGCACTGCGGTGACTCCAGGACACGACACGGGGTGCAGGCAGGATCGCATCCGTGAGCTGGAGGTGCAGCCCTGCTGGAGCCAGGACACCCAGGGGCTCATAGCCAGCGTGGGGACGGGGCGATTCGGCTGCCAGCTCGAGCAGCACAGCCTGGACTGGGTGCGCGTCCCCCCAGATGCTGCTGTGGGGCCCATAAAGCTGCCCCAGGGCTGGTTTGGGCAACAAGCACCTCCCTGCCCTTGCAGCTGCTTTTTGGGGCTGCCTGCAAAGCCTGGCAGCACGTGTTGGGCCCCAGCTGCCTCTCTTTCCCCACCACCCTCACCCAGCACTGGAGGTCCCAGGTCCCCGGAGCAGAGGCTGTCCTTTCCCCGGCACAGGGACAGAGGCAGCGGGTTTGACACCAGCCCTGCCCCAAGCTGGGGCTGCCATGGTGGTGGCACCGGGGACAGGGCCGCGCGTTTCCCAGCAAAGGATGGAGCAAGGTAGAGGGACCGCATCCCCACTGGCCTGGCGAGGGCTGGCAGAGCATCACGAACCGCCGGCACGCAGCTGACCTGTGGGTCTGCAGCTGTGTCCGCTCCTCCACGCTCTCCTGCGTGCCTTTTTTTTCCCCTTGAAAAGCCTCAGGTTGCAGATATCGCGTATCTTCCAGGTGACAAGCACAGTTTCCAAGGCAGGCGGAGGTGGAGAGGAGGGGGAAGGAGGTGGTGGTGACCCGGACCTGGCCCTGAGCACAGGGGAGCGCTCGGGGCCAGTGCCGATGGGAGCCTTCACACCTTTTCTATGGCCAGGGGCTGCTGGGTGAAGGTGGCCCCCGCCAGAGCAGCACCGCTGACCACAGAGGAAAGGATGCCGAAGGCAAAGATGCCGTCTCTAACGTGTAAGCACTGCCTTCGGCGGGGGGCTGAATTTGGGCATTGCCCAAACTCACTGGAAAAGTTCTGGGAGGTTTGGGTGCCCTCCCGGCAGCCGGCGCAGCCACCACGTGAAACCCCTCAGCCGCTGGGAGCGGGGTGGGGGTGCGAGCACCCAAATCCCTTAGGGAATTCACCCAAGAGCAGCCCGCTTCACCCCGGTCCAAGCTGGACCAAGCTTGCAGGACCCGACAGGGTGGGAGCAAGCGATGCTCGCGCCTGGATTCCTCGGAAGCTGTCACCGCATGGGTATTCGTTAGCTCTTTCTCACGTTGGCTGATGCCCAAATAACTCCGAGTTGTGCAAAGCCCGGTGAAGGGGGAGAGCAAGGGCTGCAGGGGCCGGTCGGGGCCAGCCCTGACGCAAGGGTGGCGGGTGGTGTGGGATGGAGCCAGGGCAGGGGACGGCGGGAGGATGAGTCACCCAAATACACAGGAGGGGAAGGAGCGGAGGCAGCGATGGCTCAGCCCACGGTGGCAGCCGGACGGGGCTTTGCTTCTGCAGGGCCACCCTGCCCGATTTTGGGAGAGGAGCAAGATGGTGCACCGGGGTCACTGCTTGGGGCCAGGGTCTGGAGCCCAGCGCTGCCCGCGCACCGTGGGCAGGACAGCCGTGTCGATGCAGGAGAAATATCCACTAGAGGGGACTGTGCGATCGCATGTGGGAGCGTGCAGCTGCCAGCCCGGCCGCAGAGCAGGATCCGGCTCCTCTGGCCACAGGGCCAGTCCTCCCTCCAGCCCTCAGACCTCCTGGTTATCCCAGCCAGGGCTCCCAATGCCCTCCGCATCCCTCCCGCTGGGCACTGCAGCCTGGGGGGCACAGCTTACCCAGGGCCAACCGGAGCACCATGGGGTACCGAGAAAGCAGTTGCAGCTGCAGGCGCTGGGGAAATGTGCTGGGATGGCGCTGGCCAGCAGCTAAGCCCCCACCCAGCCGCTCGCTCACTCCCCCCCATCAGGATGGGGCAGAGAATGAGATGGGCAAAAGCATGAAAAACTTGTGGGTTGGAAGAGGAACTGGGGGTCTATAGGGTTCGTATAGAAAATATCCCTGGAAAAAATGCAGGCTGCAGGCCCCAGGCAACTCAGGGCGTCCCCCCTCCTCCTCCACTCCTCCCTGCTCGGCTCTGCCCCCACTCGGCAACTCAGGGCGTCCCCCCTCCTCACTCCTCCCTGCTCGGCTCTGCCCCCACTCTCCCCTGGGACCCCACGGCTCTCCCAGGGCTGAGACTGTTCATCCTGTCCCTGCAAGCCCGAAATCCCCCAAGGACCTGGGCTGTTATTTTGCTTTTTCCTCCCGCTCACCCTGAAGCCGGAGCCCGTTGTGGAGGGCAGAGCCGGGGGCAGAGCCGCGGGTGGCGAGGGCAGGCAGACCCGAGGAGGTTTCTGGTGGTTTCCTCTCGCCCTCCCCTTCTCCCCCAGCACCATGATATCGTTTCCCTCCTGGTCGGATTAATGGGCTTTGCTTCTCTATTTGTACACAAGGACTTAAGCAATGCGCTCCCCAGAGAGGAATAAAGCTTCCCTTGCCCCAGCAGTGCTGGGGAGGCCAGATCAGAGCCCACGGTGATGGGCTGCATCAGCTTTCTCGTGTCCTTCAAGGCTCCACACACGTTAAGCCCATCTTCCTGGCAAAGACCCTGCAAAATGTTAATTTGTGTTAACAAACATGCTTGTGGAACGTGTTGTGTTTAGACGTGAGCCTGCCACCTTCTCCCCACCTCCCCGGGGCTGAGCCCATGGGCGATCCAGGGCTGGGGCTTGCAGCTGCCGAAAACTGGCCGTGCCCATGCACACTGCCGTGACCGGCAACCCCAAGCACGAGGCCACCTTGCCTGCCATTCCCACCAACCACCAAACCTGCCAGCAACATCCCGTCAGCGGCTCCTTCTCGTAGGTTCCTGGAGCTCACGGTCCCGGAGCGGGGATGCAGCCAGGGGAAGGGTCTGACCACGATTTCGTACAGCCCTGGTGTCCTGCAGCCACCGGGGCACAGACACAAGGGCTCCAGGGATCCCATCCAGCTCCATAAATACCCATCATAGAGGAGGACACTGGTCTCAGGCCACCCCATGGGCAGACAGCCATGAAGCTGAGCTTGCTCAGCTCCCACAGCCACCCTTGATGGGTCTGAGCCTGTCCCCATCCCCAGCTCCCTCGCTCACCTGCTTCTCCTCGGCTGGTGGGTGCCAGCAATGCTCCCGGGTCGGAGAGGGGTGCCTTGGGGACGTGGTGCTGCTCCTCTTCCAGAACAGACTCACCCTGGATATATACTATTTTAAACTCTAACTTGCCAGGCTTTGGGGGAAACTTGCTGTGGCTGTGTCTGGGTCAAGCCCAGCCCAAACCCCCATGTCTGCATTCAGCATCCCCAGGTAGCCGGGACTAGAGCTGCGCCCGGCTCCAGAGATCCAGAAAAGGGAGATTAACAGCAGCAACTGAAAGGCTGTTAGTGAAATATCGGGTGAGAGCGCTTGAGGGTCTACGGAAACATAGCTGCCTGTCCCCAAAGCCCCACAGGTCCCCTGTGACCTGCTTGGTGCCTGTGGCGCGTTTCCATCATGCCAGCCCAGTGGGAGCCCCAGCTGGGCAGCACCTGCGCTGCCTTCAACGCTTGCACGTCCGCCGGTGACGGCGGGGG